TAGGTCAAAGGCGGCAAGGCCAAACTTCCCCAGGACTAGTGCCTGTTTAACGGATAACACACAGGATGACTTTTGGCGAGTTTGGCAAAAAAAGACGGAAAAAAGTCTTCATATCGGTACTCACCTTGGCATAAATCATAGGAATCGTCTCCTTCTGACGAGTATACCTTCTGGCAACACGGTATACCGTTTCAGGAACAAATTCGAGGACGAGGTTTAGGTAGACGTCCTCTTTCTGAAAAAAGGAAGATAAACGTAATTATTTTTGGCGGTCTACCTGATCACTCAACAAGTTTATAACTCCAGTAACAAGATGTAAAGTATTGTGACAGCTGGAAAACGAGAGCGGGTAGTTCGCTTCGAGGAATATTAAATCACGTGGAGGAAAAATCAGGTAGTATAAAGGGTAAATCCACAAAAAACAGCAATTTATGTTTCGACAAAAACATGAGGATACTCGGATTCTCAGCTGTGTTGCAAGCACGGCTTTGCTCGAACTTGCAGGTGTGGTTCAGCAAGTACGTTTTGGCACAACAATAACTGAGAGCGGAACTGCGGGTGGGAGTGATGGGGGGGGAGCGAGCGCTTCCGAGCGGTTGGCTTAGTGCACAACACTTCCAGGCATAAAAAACGCAAAGTGATGTGAAGTTTGTGAGGGGGCCCGACCGAAAGTTCTCTGCAAACTACCCTCCTCTCCTGAAGGTAGGTTGACAGTCAGCATAGCACAAACGAAAAAAAATAAGACACACGCTCCAAAAATGTGCCTTGATATAGGGCAAATAAGAGTCCACCACCTGCAGACTCATTATTGTTGCCGCGGATTACTCATAAATGCGTGTGATTTGGTTAACAAAGGCATTATGAAAATCTGTTCCGGACACACACACACATTGGCTTATTTTTACTGGAGGTTTGCGTCCGTTACGCTGTTTTGGATGAAACGAAAAACTGCCAAAAAAAACAGCTGCACCTGTCCTTAGTTGGTTAGGAATTACGCAAATTACGCATAATTCGTGCAAAGTTAGCGTCTAGGCAAGTTTGAATGATTACTTTGTTCGCTGATGGGTTGCTTGTAAGACCTAAAACTGGTCATGGCTGGGTCCTCAGTTGAGGGCTGGTAGTAAGCAATTGGGCAGGATCCGAAATGTGTACAACAGGGCGTGAGTGTTCGGCTGGCAGATATAACATGACTTCCTGGCAAACCGTGTCGACTAACTTGGAACTGGGTTAAAGGGCACGAGACGTGTTGCAGTGAGTGTATGTGCGCAATACGTATGTGACGCCTGACTTTTCTGACACAGTAAGCAAGCTGGTGTGTTATAAGTAATCTGCAAGGCCCTTTTTAAGAAGCCAAAAATAGAATAAGAAAGTCCAAAACAAAAATAACAAGTCCAAGTAACACGAACTGGAAATGGTGCAGCCTGCCGAAAGTAGACGAGGCTTTGATGCACGTTAAGTCTGTCCATTATTCACACGAGAACACAGTCATAATTCCAAAAATTATAGGGATTAAAGAAGACCCCAGACGGTCATTCGCACGCTTCTCATGTAAATAATTATTCCCACCAGACGTTTTTATTACTGAATAGAGGGGAAAGTTATTGCGCTTTTTGGTTAATTGTAGACAGGAGTAATGCGGCTACCACGGTTTTCACCCCTCGCAAGGAGTCCAACCACTTGCAATGGCCGGGTTCCGTCGAATGATCGGCAACTTGGGAGTTGGTGATATTCCTTCCCACTGCCGCCACTGCTGCATGTCTGAGCATCTGTGTCTGGCGCAATCTCCAAAATTACTCGATTTAATCGCCGCGACCAAAATCAAAGATATAGTAATAGACTTCAAATAATTGACGTGGAAACGAATATTTCAGCCTTGCCGTTTGGTGTTCAATACTTGTTTGCGTAAAATTCCTACTCCAAGTAGCGTGAGAAGACGGCCAACGACTTTTGAGAAGTTTTGGAGTCAGCGTAATGTGGGCGTTCGTGTCCTTTGTGCATGCATCGGTTAGCAAAGATGCGGCAGTAGCACCTGTCGAAGATACATTAACTCGTTAGTTGTTACTTCTGGTTCCTAGTACTGCGAGGTAACAAGCCAGAAGAATGTCCATACGCAAGCGCTTTCGTGACCGATTGGGTGGTCGTTATTAAAACTCAGTATTTGCGTTGCATGCTGCTTGTCTAAACACTTCAGTTGAGGGCACAAGCTGGTATTACGTTTTTGGGCTGCATAGAATGGCACCGGGGTAATCACACACACTACTCCAGAATGCATCAAAATGGTCATTTTTGCCAATAATGAGCGTTACTATCCAATGAAGAGTTGTGCTCTATTACAGATGCCATGTAATGGCGATAGTGTGAGACATTTTTCTGTGACAGTCTTCTGACAGATCATATTTCAGCCAGCTATAAGACTGTTTTTTGTATTATTAGAAAAAGAGTTCACTAGGAGATACAGTTTAAAACTATCGTTTCACTTATTCTTACCAGTTTTATTGCGAATGCAGGCGAGATGTACCTCACTATTAGTTTATATAAATAAAAAAGATTGCTTCGCCGTCTTGAAGCGAGCATGTGTTAGTTTATATACTACTTTACGATAACGTAGGTTGTATTCGAAGAGTTGGACAGGTGTAACATAGTCACGAGCGATTGTTAAAACTAAGTATGCCATGTGAAAAACCTAATATTTCTTTCTTCCGAGGGTTACTTAACACGCATTCTGTAAACCTAGCAGTCAACTGCTTGAGGCGTACAGTGGTAAGAGGCTAGAGTTCCGAAAATTACGAAAATATGTAGTATGTGCAGGAGACCCGTTTGGATCATCTAATTAAAAGACAGACTAAACCATGGGAAAACATATTAAACC